TTTAGAGCTGAAAAAATGAGAATGTAAAAGAATGTGAAAAGTGAAAAGACTAACAGCATTAATCAGATATTCTTGCTATACACGAAGACTGAGAAGTTTGTCAGTGATAGAGTCAAGTACTGAAAACAAAATCTGATTTTGAGAAAAAGTAACATTGATATTTCAGACTAGAAGGTATACAAAAATGACAATGAACATTTAATATGTTTCAGTTTTTACCAAGACAATGTTTAGCTTTTTCAGAGTTTCATCCAAGAAACTTAACAACACATAATAATAGAAAATTTTTCATTTAACAGAAACCATAGCAAAATATGATAACATTATGACAGAATACTGATATAAATACCACCAAACGTCACATACTATTTTTGGTTGAAATAAAAAATCCAAATAATTTAAATGTTATATGTGAATAATGATACTAAACACATTTTTGGTATACCACACACTAAAAAAAAAAAAAAAAAAAACCAAACAAACCTGGAAACACCTTGAAAGGACAGAAACATGAAAATGCTCCATATATACATATTAAAGGCACAATAGATAACACAGAGCACCAAAAATTTTTCTAGGATATTTTAATATTTCCTATTCTGCATATTCTTTAAATTTGGTAGTGAATAATGCAGCAACAAAACTCTTCTGATACTTATAAATTTTTTCTACATCATCTAAGAACTAAACAGTAACCATCATCTAAGAACTAAACAGTAACCAGTAAGCTCAAAAATAACCAGACTATATTGAAAATATATTTACCGGAGGGGGAGGATATAGCTTAAGTGGTAGAGCGCATGCTTAGCATACACAAGGTCCTGGGTTCAATCCCCAGTACTTCCTCTAAAAGTAAAAAACCAAATCAAAACAAAACTGATAAGTAAACCTAATTACCTGTCCCCCTGAAAAAAAAATTTTTAATAAAAAAAAAATATATTTGCCACGCATAACTTAAAACTATTACCCAATCAAATAAATTAAAAATCACTATCAAACTACTTTCACTTCCAAGAAAAACTGAATTGATGCCATCAGATACAGTATAAATGCTTTTAGCAGTGTTATGATATTAATAAAAAGATGAGAATAGAAGCCAAAGATACAGTTCCGAAAATAAGCCACTTTAAAACTTATTACTCAATACAAATCTGTCATGATAATTTTAAGAAAAATGAATGATAAGGAGAAAGAGTTGAGAATTGAGAGAGGTCAAGGCTGCAAGAATTTCTGGAGCAGAGTATCAGAGAGGAAAGAGCTGTATATGAGGAGATAGCTGCAATGAAAGGAGAGGACTATACTGAGAGTGAGCTCCAGAGATCGATAGGGTTTTCCTTCAAGTCTTCAGCCATGCACACAAGGAAATGACCTGAAATCAGAAAAAGAACCACTGGAATGGAGCAGGTGGACTACTTCCCCAAATCACACAAGACCAGAAATAGTTTATATGACCACGAGCTGAAGTGGAAAAACCTCTCAATATACTGGACATCAGGTAGAGCATTCCAAAGAATTGTCCTGTAAAGGGAAAAATTAGGCTTGGAATAAAGGCTGTTCTGATCCTAAACAGGAAAGCTGAAAACAGCTTCAAAAGTATCAAACTGTTCCCAAATAACTTAAATATGTCTCAGAATAAATAAAGCTCAAAAATATTCAAAGGAATTTAAAAGTATTCAGTATCCAACAAGATAAAGTTCAGAATATCCAGTGTCCAATAAATAAGTATCATGCATGCAAAAAAACCAGGAAAATATGATCTGTAATGAGAAAAACCAATCAATAGAAACAGATTCTAAAATGATAGATAATGCAATTAATAGACAGGATATTAGAAGTTATTGTATTTCATATGTTTAAGAAAGTAGAAGAAAATGAGCATATTGAGATATGAAAGATATTTTTAAAAATTCAATTCTTAGAATTAAAAAAGGCATCTGAAATGAAAAGTACAGTGGGTGGGATTAATAGAAGGTAAGACAATACGAAAAAAGATTAAAAATTTTAAAGAAACAACAGAAACAATCCAAAATGAAACAAAGAGGAAAAAGACAGACAATGAAAGCAATATTAACTGAGTGTCAATGCTGAGTATTTGGGAATGATAACTTATTTGTTAAGTGACTGTTTCCAAGTATCAATCTTGCATTCAGAGGTTTTTCATTTAATACCTTAATTTGAATAATCTGTGAGGAAGAATTTAATGTTGCCTTTACAACTCTCTAAAGACCATGGGCACTGGCAGCTTCCACATGAATGGTTAAAATGGTGGTGAACCTTAACGTCTCCTGCACAGTGCTATGTGAGAATGGTGTATTTATATCTGACCTGGGATGAAATCAATCTGGACACATTCCATAGGACATAATCAAGTTGGGATGTGAACAAAAAACAAAGTTTGAAAGGTGAACAAATGGTATGGATATTGCTAACAGATAGAGGAAAGCTAAAGTATTCAACTCTGTTTTTTCCATCTTCTTTCTTCATTGAGGAAAACGGTCTTAAAATAGAACAGTCCACAATAAACATGATTAAGAGGAAAATGAAAACCAAAAAAGAGTAAGAACAAACCTAGATACTTCAAATGAGTCCAAGTCAACAGGCCCAGAGAAATTACATCCAAGAGAACTAAACAACCTCCCTAATGTGATCACAGAAACACTTCTACTTATCTATGAGGAACCATGAAGAATTGGAAAGGCTCCTAGAGACCAGCAAATATTGACCCAATTCTCACAAAAGAACGTATCTTTAAAGCACAGCAAACTGTAAATCTTAATATAAATCTTTGGAAAAATTCTATGCCAGATTACCAGAGAGATGGTTTATGGGAATTTAGAGAAATGGTGACAATATATCAGAGTGATCTGTCCCTTTCCTGTCCAACATTCTTCATCAATGCCTTGAACACAAAGAATGTATAATTATCAAATCTGCAGATAACATAAACTGGAAGGAATAATTACAAAGATGAAAGATCACACAATTCCACATGATAGGAAGAACAAGTGTAATAATGATAAATGTAAAGCCTGGCATTTAAACTAAAAAGAGCAATTGTACATGCACAAGAAACAGGTATGCTCTGGCTCAACAGCTGAACTTCATACAAAAAAGTCCTATGGGTTTTATTTAGTTCGTTACAAAACCAATTTAAAAAGTAAGCAATATAAAGTGGCTTCTAAAACAGCTGATGCAATCATAGGCTCTGTATGTGCATACATATATTCATTCAATCATTCAACACATTTTTATTAGGAGCACTATGTTTCAAGCACAACATTAGAAAATAAACATATTTACCAGCATAGTGATCTCAAGAAAGTAACTGAACCATTCTAAGTCTGCTTCCCCACCTAAAAAAGGAAGATTAATAAGGCTAACCTATAAGGATGTTGTGAGGTTTAAATATGATACATATGAAATTCTTATGTAGCACTCAACAATTAAAAACAACAGCTACTATTTTTGCTATTATTATTTGCTCACTTTTGTCAAGTAAACTGTAGAAGAGATTAGTGTCTTGGAAGAAGGTTGAACTAGATAACTTTATCTCTTAGAGCAATTAAATTCGAAGAAAAATAAGACATAAAATAGTTCAGACTTTCTATTGTTTGCTATATAATGTTAAACCCATATTAGGTTACATTATTAAAGGCTATTATTCCAAATCTTTGAAGAGGAAAAAAAAACTTAAAATGATTTAATATGTGTGGGGAAAAATTACATGAAATAACTCCTTCAAAATTTAGTTAAGTTGAGACCACCGACAAACATTTCTAAACTGCACTGTCTTTACAAAATGTCATTTTTGTATTGTCTGTTTGCACAGCAGCAAGAGAGAGAGGTTAAAGCAGTGCTATAACTTCAAGCAATTTGGATGTTTTTGGTTGCAAATAACAGAAAATACCAAGTTAAAATGGCTATAATAGTAAGGATATTTATTACGTCAAATAAGCAGCAGTCTAGAATTGGAATGATAATTCCAAGGTAGTTTAGTTCAGAAGCTTACAAGGTTGTCAAGTGCCCAAGTTTTATCCTTCTGCTTCACTACCTTCAACAGAGTTTTCATTCTGATCTGTCCCCTCCTTGCTACAGTTCCAAATACAACAGCCAGATAAGACCAGTAGAAGCAATAGGACTATTTCCTCCCATGTATGTCTTTATAACAGTAGGAAAGTCTTTTCCAGAAGTTCCCATATCCCAAACAAGTTATCCTTCAAGTCTCATTAGCTAGAACTATAGGATGTGTCTACCGTTCACTGCTAACCAAACATTGACAAGAATGGAATCACCACCATTAGACCCATTATCATTCATCACCTGTGCTGAGGATTTCCTATCCTGCAACACAGGGGAAAGCAAGCTGAATCAGGGTTCTGTCAGAAACAAAGAATGAGGTGGGAAATGTAATTATAAGATTGAAACAAACATTCTCAGACTAAAAAGAGAAATGAAAAGGTTTTTTATTGTAACCACAAGTTAAAAAACAAATAAATAAAACCGAATCAAAAATAACAAATCAGTAAGACTGACTTTATCTGATTATATCTGATTTTGTACCACACAGTTCAGGCTTCATAATGGCTGAATAGTCCACGCCACTCATTTTCACAACTAATTAAATGTTGCCTCTTATCATTCTCTGAATATTTCCTATTTTATTTCCTTAACTGGACTGTAAACTTCTTGCAGATTAGAAACCTAATTTTTTACATAATTTTCAATGCTAACAAATATAAGAAATAGCAAACATCAACACTTATGAAAAGTTAACATATATTTATATCCTGTAATAATTTCCCTTCTTATTAAAACTGGCAGATTGAACACATTCATCTCTGCTCTTTTCCAAAATCCAACTAAAGTGACAGTAAAGAACTTTAAAAGGTATAAATTCACAAGAGGAATGAGAAGAAAACAGAAGGTACCAGTTGACAAAAAAAATTTTAAATTTTGAAAGCTGTAAAGAGTATGGAAATGTTGCAACTGACTTAGCTGATCAGAGAAAACTGACACCTAAGGCTGCAGTAGGGGTGGATGGTGGGGGGAAGAGGCAGTAAGAAGCAAGCCAAAGGCATAGCACTATTCCAAAAAGACTCAGTAAGCAGAGGTTATCAGCTATCAGGTAACCAGGGGATGTGTACAGTGAGGCTAAAAGCTGAAGGACTGGTTGAAAGTTTATATAAGGAACAGATAGTCTATCAGATGCCCTCTCCAGAAGCCCAAGGAACAGTACTGCCTCTGTCACCATAGAGGACAACACTCCAGGAAAGTATCTGGTGGTTTCCCATCAAAATAGACCCTTCCCTGCTCCCTGCTCACCTCTCCAGGTAATAAGGCCCCAAGTACTGCCCTGCTACCCGTCCACACTGACAGACACACACACAAATACCTTCCAATTAGCCTCTTAAATATCGACAGCTAGCCAAGGAAAACCTGTAATACTGTGGGCTGAGACTGAAAAAAGGAGAGGAGAAAGAGAGGGAGAGAGGAGTGAGGGAAGGAGGAAAGGAAAGCGAGAGAAAAATAAATTTAAAAAAGAAAAGAAAAGCAAGAAAGAAACAAACTCAGGAAAAACAGCCAAGGAAGCAAAAGAAAACTTAAAAAAACTTAAAAAAAATAAACTTAAAAAAATAGTATCACCATAGAAAGATGATATGATACTGTACCCATAAAGCAAGAACAGAGGATTCTTTTTAAAAGAAAAAAAAAGCGAGAGAAAGAGAATTGAGAGGAAAAAGAAGAACATAGTTAGAAAAAAGAGGATTCTAATTATTTCATCTTAGCTGGAAGGTACATGTGCTAGCTAAAACTGCAGCTGCCATTTCACACGCAAGACAGAAATAAGCTGAGGGATCGGAAAGCAGCATAAAGAGCCTGGGTCTTTAAATGACTGCTGGAGCTGCCACTGGAGCCCTAGACCACCTCCATGACTATGAGGGATTAAAAACAAAAGCAAAAACAAGAAGCCTCTATCTCATTAAATACACTATTTTTGGCTTTTCTGCCCCTTACATTTTAACTGTGTACTAATACAGTACATGTTACGTAAGTTTCCCCCCAAGCCCCTATAATACGAAACAAAGAAAATTATGTTCCAAGCTAATTATCTTGTTGTTCCTATTAACTATGTTTAAGTCTATTTTATCTTAGCCAAGAAAGTTGGATGCTAGCACTTCAAATTTCAGGATTACATTCTAATCAAGTCCATCGCGTGTAATAAAATGTAATGCTGAAGGACCTATGGAATATAGTCCCAGGTGTCCACAGCACACTGCTCTCATTGTTTTTAGATGTTGCAGAATCACTCTACTAAGGCCTGCCTTCAATTTCCCTTCAGTCTGACTTTCTTCTTTTAAATTCATATTGGATGACTGATGGCTAACATAATAAATATTTTATCTTTCTACACCCTTCCCCCAGGAAGAATATGCCTTTTTGAAAGTGAGGCACTGTTAGACACCTGGAGTCCAAACCTAGAGTTCTTAACTCTTTTGTCCACTGTGACCACTGCAGCTTTTAAATGTTTTTACATTGCCATAAACTATTAAAATATGCTATTCAATCTTATATAGTTAATAAATCACATTCATAATAAAACTAGAAATCCTAGAGACAGAATGATCAAGAATATGGAATAAAACATAGATCAGTATGAGTTAACTGCTTAGCTTTAGATAACATCACCTATATTGTAAATTATAATTATTCTGATATTGTCTAAAAATTTCTTAATAGGTAAAAATTTCACAAAATGCTAAAGGAAAAATACTCTGGCAAGAAAAAGACCTATATAACTCTAGAATAACTTTCTTATGAAGTCTGCACAAATAATCAAATCAGTAAGAGATGTATTTCTATCCTTAGCTTTCTCCCACAGTTCTAGCCTTTCCACTGATGACCAGGTGGTACATGTGGCAAGGATCTGAAGGTACTGATGGCAGGCACATTCACACAGAATAGATATAAGGAAAGGGAAATTTGCCAAAGGGAAAACAGGGCAATAAAAGAAAGAAATGGTCTTAATAGACCACAGTCTACCTATTTCTACCTTCAGAATCAATTAATTTGCCAAATTCTTGTCATCTTTGTAACTAAGCACTTCAGTAAGAGCTCAGGACTTTGAAACCCACTGTATCAAACCTCCCACCCCATACGATCTATCAATAGTAAACAACTCTGTATATTGTTATAGTGCTAAAAGAACAAGCCCTCCTTATTAATCAAAGCCTGGAACCCTTTAATTTGTTTCTGCTCATGACAAGAATAACCAGTTTACCAGACAACTCCTCCATCCTTAAAAGTCATAGTACTTATGGCTTATAGATAAAGAGAAAAGAAAGTAAGGGGTGACAAAATATTAATCTTGAATTCTAGATACCTTCACATTTGCATTGAAATTTTCATTTTAATATTCTTGGCACTTTGTTTCTACACTTATTAAAGATTTAAATACTACGAAGAGAGATGATATCTATGGGAGAAAAAAGCTGACACTTCGTAATGGTTCAAAGCACTCAGCTGACGGTGATACTGTTTATACCGAAAGATTTAATAACTACTTCCACTCCCTCCTCCCTGCAGGGTGGGGGGAGGGTGGAAATCAACAGAGGGCCACAGAGCTTAACATTTATACTGGAGGAGGTCCTTCTGAAGGAGCAAATGCCACTGACCCATCCCACAGCAAATAAGACAATGTAACTTGCCAAATCAATGCTCAGTACTCAGTCAACTTAGATTTTCCTATAAATGCCACAAACACTCCATTAGACTCTGGCTAGTCCAGGTTCTATGCAGCCTCCACTTAGTCCCATAGACTAAAATTCTTCCCTCTACCAATCTCCTAAACTGACCTCTAGTTAACAGTTCTCAATTTGAGGCTTTCTTCAAAAGGAAGCAGTAAAGTTGTGGAATTTCCTCATATTACACAATGATTTACTTCTTTAATCTGTGTGCACTTGAAGAAGACAGGAGTTATACTCACAGTTCAGAAAACCTGCCATGGGATGAATCAGATTAAGGCAAGCCCCTTAGCCAAAGTCCACCAACTTCACATTATGGTGAACTATTAAACAGTTTGTACTTTAATTATTAACTGCAATTATTAAATTAATAATTTAATTATTAACAGTGATAATTCATCACTATGTACAACTAAAAAGGTATATATTCTATTCTTATATATCTTCCTAAAAATGGAATAGTATGAGAGGAGTATCTGTAGAACAGAAACACTAGATGAAAAAAATGATGTGGCTAAGTCCATAGGAGCTAGATGTTTTAGCAAAGCCTCTTATCTGATACTCTCAGTGTAGCCGAAATACACAACAAATATAAATCAGAATATGTTTCTTGTGTAGAAAAAGAAAAAAATGAAAAAAAAAAGAAAGAAAATGAAAAAACCTCACCTTCTCAATATTTATCTGGTGCTTTCTTAACCTCTCCAGGTCTGTTGGGATTACTATCTTAATAAACTTCTGGATAGCTGGTTCAAGACGGCGTAATTTCACTTTTTCTTCATCTTCAGACATTCTAAAAAAATGCTGTGTCACTTTTACTTGCAACAAATGTCTTTTTCACTCATGTAGAAAAATCTAAAAGGAAAATATTGAAGATTTTTTTAAATCAATTTCCACCATTTTTAAAAGCCAACATTAGGTAATTTCATAATACATTCTAAATACATACTTAGCTTAATGCTGAACTATAGTGACGTGATTTTTTTAAAAAAACTTTTATTTTAAAATATTTTTCTCTCTGCAAAAGTTATATATATTCACTTTAGAAGGTTTAGAAAATATTAAAAAGAGAGTAAAATAAAATCAACAATCATCTCCTCACTTATAGTTAACTACTCTTTCCACTTTTTTTCCCTTCTCATGCCCTACTCCTTCCATTTTGATCTATCTATGTCTTGTCTTTCCAGGTCTTTTTTAATGAAGGGTGTGTGTGCGTGTGTGTGTATGTACATATACATATACCTAAATAACCTCTTTCAAAACACCAGAAGTATACTGTCCAAGTTTTCATTTCCTAATGTATCTTTGATAGTGAAAAATGTTTTTTTAAAGGTGTCAAATGGGAAAATTGGAAAGAAAAAATTCATTCTCAACATTTCTGCTGTATTAAACTCCATTTCTAATATAATGTAACTATGTAATTATATACTTCAAATATTTTATAACATAAAATGCAACTCTTCTCATTGATGTCCTTTAAATTGCCCCTTCCCTTTGTTACAAATTGACTACCATTTTCTGTAACCAATACAAGTAACCAGTGACACAGAGAATAAAAACCCAGGATTCTTGAGATTACAACCAAATGCTCTTCCTAATTCACCAGTTGTTTTGTTTTGTTTTGTTTTTAGCAGTGTTCCAGAGAGTCCAGGGTTATGTCCTTTTTGCCAACGTAGAAGTGGGTAGGGGTTGGGAAGTGAGTAGGCTCCAAGACCCCACAGCTGCTTCAGCTGGAGATAATTTACTTAGATCTATTTCATAAATTTGAGCTAATTAGATTTTATAGAAGGGCTCCACTGCTTCATCAAGCTTGAAAACCACTGTTGTGCATCATGCTCTCATGCCATCTCATTAGCCACAACCTCTTCCATATTAAAAATCATATATAAATTCACTTTGTTAATCCCATTGGGTTACAGTGTCTTACCCAGGGGTTCATAGAGATAGGAGTACACAAATAGACTCCAAGGAGTCCCTGAATCTTAACCAAAAAAGCTGTGAATTTATTTTTGAGTTATTTTAGAGTGCAGAGTCCATTGCTTTCATGAGATTATCAAAAAAATCACTCCAGAAACATTAAGAACTATTACTCTAAACAATGTTATTTCTCTCCTCTTACACTTGAAAATCTTGAAGTGTTGGTTATACAGACAATCTCATCTACCAGAAACTTGGTTTTTACGTTTAACTTGAGCTTGAAAGCAAAAAAGGAAAATCTTCTGACATGAAAAATAGTCTAACAGCTAGTTAGTGGGAATTAGAGATACAAAGGGAAGTTCATTGCCAAAAGAACAGACACAACAAAACTGGAAAAACTCATAATTAATAGATTAAAGATAATATAATAATCTAAAAAGAAAATTAAAATAGGTACATTTAAAAATATTAAAAGATATAAAGAATGTTTTTAAAAATGAGATATTATGAAACAGTAACAGGCCATTCTAAAAATAAATAAACAAGTAAAAATTCCACAAATGAAAACCTCCAAAAATGGTTAGATAGTAAATCATACTATTTATTGAATCATTGAGAATTATTGATTGAAAACTATCAGTCAGAGAATAGAAATAAAGAGATGGAAAATATAAAAGAAGATGAGGGACATAAAGGATAAAATGAGAAGCTCAATAACAAACAGAAGTCCCATAAAGAAAGAATAAAGTGGTGAAAAGGCATTATTCAAAAAGAATACACTGAGAATTAAGATGTAAAAACCTCAAGTTGAAAATGCACATAACCACCAAGTAACATCAATTAAAAAAAAATTTACCTCAACAAATGGAAGGGAAATTTCAAAACATCAAGGACAAAGGGAAAAAAAAAATCTTAAAAAGCAAAGCAGAGATAAAAGACAGATAAACGAAAACAACAAAAGAGCCAACTTTTCATCAAAGCAACATATCAAAAGCCAGGAATATCTTCAAAGTGCTGAGTGAGTTGCTGTATACTCAGGTAATTATTCAGAAGTGTCATATTTGGCCTTCCTTTAGACACTTTCCCTTCTCCAATTTTTCCCCCACAGATTACCACCAACTAATATATCTAAAACACTAAGGACAACACACTCCTCCTCTGAACAAAAATTTCTAAGAGTTCCCTATTATTTGAACAAGAAAATACAATGTTCGCAAGTAGATCCACTCCGTCTATCAAAATATTATCACCCATGATCTACTCTCGGCTTTGCAACGATGCTCCCTCTGTCTAAATGCTCTACAAAAGAGCATTTATGCCATCTGCCTCTAAACTTTATGTATCATTTGAGATACAACTCAAATTAATTCTGCCTTCTCTTCCTCTCATCAGTTTACAGTGTACTCGACAAACCCCAGTTACTGAGTACTTGGTTTGTTTTCAATGTTCCCCTATGCTATGATGATAGCTTTCTCTTTTGAGTTTGAAAAGTGGTATTTTCAGGTCAAAGTGCATGACTCTGTCCCTCAGCTTTTTGTGCCCAAGGAAAACCTACTGTCTCATCAAGGCCATCTCTCAAGAAAGACATTCTGGCCCAAAAACTTCCCAAAAGACTTTTGGAACTCTTGGTCTCCTGGAGAGTATTTTTTTTCTCTCCACCATTTCCATTTTTATAAAATTACACTAAAATGCCTATATAAAACTAAGATTCATATTAACTGCATAAAGCATGATGTTACTGAAACAAAGCTGTCTAACAGTGGCTCTGATCATATAGTGTTTATAAAGTGTTTATAGCTCAAATAGTGTTTATAAACTATTGAGGGAAGTTCTTAATCCAATATACAAAATGTGGTTTAAAAGTGTAATTGAATAATGAGTTGAAAGTGTATTTCAGCATTTCTTGATTTTTTAGTCAGAAAATTGGAAATATTTCTAATATAATTAAGACACAAAATAAAAAATACATTCACATTAACACCACAAATACTTTAAATATGCCTATGAAAAAGACAAACCATACAAAAAATGTCTAATTTCCCACACGTCTGCAGAGTTGTTTTATTACTTTTAACTTTTTTTTCTAAGTGTAATGGAATATTTGGGGTGATAGAATTGCTCTGTTATCACGATAGAGGTGGTGGATACATAATTACACGCATTTGTCAAAACTCACAGAACTGTACACCACAAAAGGTGAATTTTGGAAATTAAAAAACAAAAACAAGATGTTGGGGGACCCAAAATGAAATACAAACTACAAAAGACAAAATTAACTGTATTGCAAATGAAAAGTATAACCACACTGAAAGCAGGGGAAAAAATAATTTAGGTAACTTTGGAAAATAGTATTTTAACTGGATACTACAAGGCTAAAGACAAAAAGAACTACACACAACTATACTATGCTCTAGTTAGTAAATGTGTTTCTCACAGGAGTATGCGTTAGAAATCCTGAAATTACTTTATGTACATACTAGGGTTGAAGAAATAAGGAAATACTCTGTAGAACACAAAAGCCAGATTTCTCAAAGTCAAAGAAAAAAGTTACAAATAAGGGGCAAGACTAGAATGAACCCTGCATTGTTAGATTAGAAGGTGTAAGAATGAACTTTTGTTTTTTAAAAAAGTATACATATATAGACATATGTTAGATATGTGTGTGTGTGTATATATATACATATATATACAGATAAATACAAAAATAGAAGTGTTTGTGTATGCATGGATATGTATGTATGTACACCTGTTTGTATCTCCATGAATATAGGGATACACGGTTGACCCTTAAACACAGGTTTGAACTACGTGAATCCACCTACACGTGGATTTTTTTTCCAATAAATACTATAGTACTACACAATCCACAGTTAGTTGAATCTGTGAATGTGGAACCACAGATACAAAGGCCAACTATGGGACCTGATTATCTGAGGATTTTGGTGTCTGCAGCAGGTCCTAGGCCCAGTCCTCCGTGGATACCAAGGGAGGATTGTATATATAGCTTAAAAAAAAAAATACACACACACACACACACACACACCCTTCCTAGCCATCTTACGCGAGGCACTAGAAGCAATGATACCCCAGTAGCAACAAGCACACCTAGCACCCAAACACTTGGTGTTTAAATATCGCTTTCCAAACAAAGGAATGGTTCCTTGGAGAAGTGGTGGATTCCAGGGCTGGGGGAGGGAAAACACAAAATAAGCCTGCTGCATCTTGTGGTATCAGAAAGTAAGGAAGTTCTCAAAAAAGAAGAGGGCTTATCAAAGGGCATAAGAAGCAACCTTAAAAAAAACTTTCAATGCAAAAGCTTGAACAATTTGAGACATAAAATCAATTTAAAAAGCGTAGGGTAGTAGCCAATAGAAAAATAAATGAGTCCATACTGATACAAAAAGATTAACAATAAATAAGTGGGAAGAAGGGGAGGCTCTTCCTTACAGAACTCCAGTTAATAAATGAAAAAGGAATGAGGGAAACGAAAACCATCATTAGAACATCACAGTAATAATTACTGAAGGCAAGATCCATCAAATGGATGCTAAAATCAACAAATGAAAGTTTGAGGAGAAATGGGATATTTACATTATTTTAAAATTCTTCCCCAAGATACTAATTACAAAGGAAAAATAGCAACTTTACATTAGTGACAGACACCACCTTAACAAAGTAACAAAGAGTAATATCAAAAGTAGTGTGTCATATTATATACCCCTCATACGATGAACTACTGAGAAGGGCATACAACATCAGCCAAAACCTGAGGGACACTTTGCAAAATAAATGACCAAGCCTCTTCAAAAGGTCATGAAAGACAGGAAAAGACTGATGAGCTGCCCAGACTGGAGAGACTAAGGACCCATACCAATTAAACGCAATGTGGAATCTTACCAAAGTTCATTTCTTACTTTTATTAACTGTATATAGTTATATAAGATGGTAACATAAAGGAAACAGTAGAGAACTCTGTATCACTTTTGTAACTTTTCTGTGATTGTAAAATTATTTCAAAATAAAATGTCTTTTTTAAAAATGTATGAATTGCTGTTTCACATAAGACTGGTCAAACACAAGTCAAAGAACTGCAATCACAGTCACTGCAATAACACTTGCGGCGGGGGTGGGGGCTGGGGAGTGCCAGGTGCTTTAACAAACTTTACCATTTAGCGCATACTATTACCACCTGAGTACCATACTACTCACGTTTCCAATGGGTAAAAAGTACTGGGAGGTTAGCCAAATTGCTTGAGGTTATCTATAAGTGAAAAGCCCCATTTCTCAGAAAAAGTCGCAAATCGTTGGCAACGCTCCCCCCCCCCTCCACTCCCAAATGATGAACACCTTCCCACATTTCCCCACACTGATGGCACGGAATTTCCTCAGGCACGTCGCCCCGTGTTTCTGACTGGGGTACGGGGTACTGACTTTGGAAAGAAAAGTCAAGGCCCTCGGTCCTTCCCTATGGTCTCCTCTCTGAGCCTCCGATTCCGAATTTAAAAAATGGGGGAGAGGGTTAGAATGTGGGGCCTTCCGTGAACCAGCTCACAGTCTGGCTGACAGGAAGCTCCCACCTCTCGGTCCAGGTGTCCCCCCTCGCTACCCATGAGCCTCGCGTCATCCCTCGCAGGGTCACCCACCGCGCACCTGGGCCACATACACCGCCCCCCGCTCCCCAGTATGGGTGCGCGGGACCCAGATGCCGGCGACCCTGACGACCTAGGGCCCACAGTGCGTCGCGGGGAGGGCAGATGATGGAAACTTTTCCAACCCGAGACCCCGGGTGGCCGCCAAGCTCGCCTGGCCGGCCGCCTCCCTATCTACACCCGCTTTAAAGAGCCCCTTCAAAACCGAAACCACCACTTCTTACAGACAGGAGGAGCCCCCACGGCGCTAGCACTTCCGACCTGACGCCGTGCTTCCCGCGGGGCTCCCCTCCCGCGCGCGGGGTTGGCACCCGGCCCACCATGCCCGTCAGGGCCCGACGCCCCCGAGGCGGCCTCCCGGGAACCCCTTACCTCCCTCCCGGGCGCTGGAGGCCGGTAGGTGCGCACGGCGCAGGCGCGGGCGGGACGGGGCGGGGCGTCGAGATAGGCGAGCCGGGCTGGGCCACGCCCCCTCCCGAGGTGTCCCAGCCTGGCAGGGTGTGGCAGGCGAGCCCGAGAATGCAAACAAACGCGGTCGCTGCTTGAGACCGACTCTTAAAAAGTGGTCGTGGTTCATGTTGCAGGGTTGTAACTCTGGAGCCAGGAGGAAAGAGACGGACAAACGCTTTTTAGATCTGTTTGTTGTGTGTTAAATGTGAAACAATTCACATTTGTATATAGCCCTTTACATTTTGCAAAATATTTCTGTCCATTTTCCTCTGTTCTTCTAGGAATTTTATTGGTGGACTGGCCGAGTGTTCTTACCCCTTTACACACATAGAAACGGAAGCTCAGAAAAGTTGTGCCTTTTTCTCAACCCCCAAAACCCTCGGAGGGTGGGCAGGTCATAAGTCTTAACTGTAACAGGCTCAGGAAGTTCAGACGAGTTGTGATCTTTCCCCCACACGGTGGAGCCCTTAATGCCGAGCCCTTAATATCCCAGTTTTACAGAGAATGACACTGAAGCTCAATAAAAGAGTTCATAGTGACTCACTCCAGCTCAGCCAGTTAGCGACAGAGTTGGAACTTCATCTGGGTTTCCTAATTTCCTTCCCAAGTTCTTCCAGTTACACCAGCTGCTACCAGTGAACAGACGGCTGGCTTTGAAGCCCTGTCCAGGTCACAGGTCCTCCTCTCTGGATGGCCTGACTTCCAGATCCAGCCTTTTTAATATGTGTTTGTGAATATGCCGATGACTTGCTCAGAATGTATCCACTAATGATACTGTCCTCAGAAGTCAAAGTTAAAGCCATAACTAAGGAAACAGCTCTTAGGGTCTTCCAGGGGAGTGGTAGTAGAGGTAGAAACTGTGGACCAATGAATATTACAGGTCTGTAAGAACTGCTTTGAAAGGCAGTTTCCAAAATAAAACATAAAATCTGCTAAGCATTTTGGATTTTCTTTATGGGTATAATGAATGCTGGTGTTTGTTTTACTCTGGGAATGGGGTGCTTGTAAGATTTTAATTCTAAGGAGAAAAGTTGCAACAGTAGACAATACCATGGGAAAATGTTTTTTATGCAAGGGTCAGTTAACAAGAGCTTTTGAAGTAAAGGTCATTCAAGTTAAGTTCTAAAAAGCTACCTCTAGTACATTAGGGACGTGTGACAATCAAGGATTCTAAACTTGAATCTAGCCTTCCAGGTTAGAATATGTATGTTTGCTATAAGTTAGGTGTGTCAAGGTCACTGGATAGAACTTTTTAATCTAACAATTTGTTAGCTTAATTTATAATCTTTAAATATTTAGACTTACTGTGTGTGGACCTCTTTTTGTACTCTTGCCTGGGCCCTGAAGTTGTTAGGAGCAGTCCTGCTGCTACTAGTTAACATTTTCCTGCGGTCCTAAGTGAACCAGGAAGGCCAAACAAAACAAAAAGGAAGTAAATAAGGAAATAAGGAAAAAAAAGAAAAATATTCTTTTTAGGTTTCATGATTGCTTACTTGGAAAACCCAACGGAATGAATTGAAACAAATTCAGTTAAATGGTTAGAGAAATAGCTTTCCTAAACAACAATCGCCAGTTTAAAGATGTTAATGGGAGAAAAGGTCATATTCAAAAATTAGCAGAATCGAGTTTGTGTTTGTAAGCAATTTATAGGGGCTATTTGAAGAGTTAAGAATAATAGCTAAATAGGGTGGGAGTGAGGGGAGGAGTTTCCGAGGGGCATGAAGAAAACTTGGGAGTAACGGATATGTTTTTATCTCCATTGTGGTACTGTTTGCATGGGTGTATACATATGTTGAAACTTATCAAATTGTACACTTTAAATATGTGAGTTTACTGTATGTTAGTTATACCTGAATAAAGGCTGTTTCTTGAGGAAATGTATATATTATTACTTACTTAGCACCTAGCACAGTTCTTGGAACAGACTAAGGAAACAATGTATATTCACTATATGAATTAAGAAATAATTTTCCCAGTATAGAGCAAGTACATGGAGAACCTGAGAATCACATTCAGATTTGGTACAATAAAATAGACCTCCCAGGTTATCTTCTCAGCCCACTCCTTTTCTGGCAATTGCTTCTCCCCACCAGATCTGCAGGCTTTCAGTTAGGAGACTCTGGCAGCCATTTCATATAGGCGCGAACCCATGCTTCTGACCATGGTGAACTGGTCCAGGAGCAGACAGCTGACTCAAGCTGGGGCAATAACATACCTGTTCCAGGAATCTGGGATTGGGATGAGGATTCTAGTTTTAAAATGGCTGGTTTCTTGGATGGAAAGATCTCCTGGTGCCTGTGTGTTTGACTCCACAGACTGGTGAATCAGAGGAAGTCATGCTGCTCAAAGACCCCATTTAAAATTGTGGAGAGATGAGTCTATGTATGTCCTAGGTCATCTTGTTAAAGTTTTGTTTGTTTGTTTTTACTGTAGGTCATGTTCAAAAAACACTTAAAAGCCACTATCTTCACTAGGTTCTTTCTCTAGCCATGAATTATTGAAATACCTACTGCAGTTCTGAATGCATGCTATTTCTTTCTGCATTCTATCATTCCAACCATCTTGTGAACAGAGATGAAGAAAGGTTAAAAATAAAATGATAATAGTGGTTACGGGTGGCACAAAATTAAATGGGAGAGAGTATAAGTAGCTTTCTTGGGGGCTGGAAATGTTCTGTGTATTGATCCTGGTGTGAATACATATGTGAAAATTCATTAAGCTGTACACCTAAGATTTGTGTACTTTGAGTTATACCACAATAAAAAAGGAAAATAAATACAGAGCTAGCAATTCTTGATGTAAACCAAAACGTCTAGTAGACAAGGACTAGCTACTTCCTTAATATTATTTTTCCCTCTGAAATAGTAGTGAAATAGCAGTAATCTGTACTCTTGTTAGAGACCTTCACCCCTATAAATATAAAATGAAAGGCCACATAAGAGAGAGCAGAGGGAGGGGAGAATGATTAGATGCACAAAAAAGAAACAAGAGTTTGCAGCACATTCAAATTCCTGATTCCAACTCATTCCTAAGGCTTAGCTTAACCCCAACACTTATGTCTGGTTACACCCCAAAGCCATCTAACCCTCTCACCCCCGCTCTCACGCCTGCCTTTTCTTTAATTGCTTAAACTAGCTCAAGTGAACTACTATTTTTAGTCAAGAGAGTTCTGTTATAAATACAAAATTCCATCTGTTTCTATTATGATATCAGTTTAAACTTATACATAGTGTTCACTAACTTTAGTATCCACTTTCTGCTTTAACATCCTCCCCAGCCCACCACACACACACACACACACACACATACCATTAACCAAAAAAAATCTGTTCATATATTAAGGTAATGGAGACCTTATATCAAACCAAAAGGAGTGAACTCTGCAGGCAAACAGTAACAATGGAATTCTCTACTCATCAACCATTCACCGCTAGGAATTTGATCATCATTTTACATGTAGAATAGATTAAATGCCCAGACATCTGTCTATAGACTCCTTCCCTACTTTTTTTGTTCTTTTAGTTATCTTATTCTCAAAACTTAGTGTGCCTAAGAACTACTGCGTAAGGTAGTATTTATAAAAACATGCTTAAAGGACCTTCTGGGCAATTTGAACAATTTTCAAGGATAAGTTTTGACTCTGTGATTTTTGCTTTATCAGTGACTTTAATTCCTTATACCTACACCTCTCACCATCCGACTTACCGTCAAAAGAGGCAACATTATACTAGGCCTGCAATTAAAACACAGTAAACTTATTTAGAACGAGAATCATATTGAATGTTATTTAAACTTTAGCAATTTACAAGGCACCTTGAATTTTGTAGTACCTTAGTTATTATTGTCATGAAATGTCAGTCAATAAATATCACATGATAAATATGCAAATGGACACTTTACATAGTGACAAAGGGATTAATTCTCCAAGAAGATGTCACAATCCTTAATGTATACGCACCTAACAACAGAGCATCAAAATACAGGAGGCAAAGCCTGATAGAACTGCAGGGGAAAATCAAGTGCCTTACAGAGTATGAGAGCCACAGTGCAAAGATTAAGTTCATGAAAGTTGCCATTTCTTCCAGGGGTGGCAGGATTGTCATAGAAGAACCAAGAGAGTATAACAATAGGGCAAAATGATTTCCAAGATACCAAATATTTCTAGATTCCTGTTGGAGAAGCTGCCAGGGCTCTCTTTTACCGGATTAAAGAATCTATCCTCCGTCCTTTGACAACTGACATTCCCACCAGTATACCTTTTAATCCTTCAACTAGTAAAATACATTTAAGGGATTGGAAATCAACAAAATTCGGAGCCTCACCTTCCCTCTTCTCAGCCCAGCAAGCCCCCGAATTTTACTGTCACACCCCTTAGGGGATATTTTCCTTTCTAAAGGCCTCAATGGATTACAGGAGCTTTTAAAGTAGTATTTATATTTCCTCTAGCCAAAGACACATTAACTTTAATATTTCTTTGGCAGATTATTACTAAAGAAAGAACTATTGCTTGCTCCATGGAAATAAATTGATAGGTTCAGCAACTGTCACTTTGCTTATATAAATTAATGCTTTGGGAGAGAAATGTTTCAAGCCTGAGCAAATAGTTTTAGATATGGGGAAAAAAAAATGCCCTGAATCCCTGTACTTAAATATTACAGGACATAATGGGTAAGGTTGAATCTTTCTAACATCTGGTAAGTGCTTTCCCATTCATTCAGTCAGTCAGTCTGCACAGCCAATATGCCAGCCACTATGCTGAGTCCCGGTGATTGAAAGTTTAAAATGATCCCATTTCTTTTCTCTTCAGGGCCCAAAGTCTGAGGGAGAGACAGACATGTCAGTAGATACAATTAACACATGCTATTATTAGCTATCCCTACACAAGTGCTATAGAAAGAAGCACAGAGGTGACTTTAGAGTTTGCTCAATACAGAGGAATTATCAAGAAGGGAGGAAAGAGCATTCTGAACAT